TGCAAGGCAGTCAGCAACAACAGGAGCAGACATATAGCCTTTTCACAAAATTAACAAGCAGAAACATTGACAAAGGGCCAGAAAGGTTGGGACAGACTTTGTATAAACATGCATTCACCACTAGACTTCTCCCCTTTGGCATTGGAGCAGGAGGGTCTGTTGCATCAAAATGGTTTGAGTTCCAACTAAGCTCTTCTTTGCAGTGTGGGGTGAAACAAAGATTATGCATAGTTTCCACAAACTGAGGTTTGCTCGGGTGATGGAGCAGGAATTCTCACATGTGTGAATTTTAGTGCTGTGCATGGCATTCCATGAACTGGCTGCAAATAAAGTGACCTATATCCAGGCACTTCACTCCTGAGGTAATCCACATTAGTTCTGCTAGCCTAAGCACGGTCTGTGGCCCTTTAGATGCTGTAGGATGACAACTTCCATCATGCTTTAACCACTGGCAGTACACATGGGAGTTGCAGCCCAGCAACATCTCACTATACGATTTAACTCGAAGATGCAAGCTGCAGTTTATAAATCCTTTTTCCAGGAGTTGCTCAAGTGACAGTGAAAGAATGGCAAAAACTGCTGGTTCAGGCTCAGAAATAAGAAGCCATGATAACATTCATAGTATGAAAATCCAAAGAAACATCCTCATAAGGGAAATAGGCTGGGCAGAAGATAATAAGTGTTTAGTCTAATGCAAACATTGTAGAAGAACATGTCCTCCCACTTACAGACCTGTTAAACCAATAATTTGTAGCTATAATTATGTAATGAGAGCCATTTGAGGATATATTTGCATATTCAAACTAAAAAAATCCAAAACCCAAAATTCATAATCTTACATACTTATTAACTTGAAGTACAAACACACTGGTAATTGTATAGGATCACTGTGTTAAAGATAAGCATTGTTTAGGTTCTATACCAAGAAACATCTTTATAACCAAGATATTACACTGATAAGATATTGTACTTTTTCTTTCCCCCCCTGCTTGTTTACAGTTTGAATACATTTGCATATATTTTCTGAAAAGCAAAATATATAAAAGCAAAACTGTGCCAAGACACCTTCAGTAATTAGAAAACTTTTCCTGGAGTTTAAAAGGGGGGAAAAGAGGAAATAATAATTACTTGATGTTTAATGGATTTCTACTGCAAACAACATGTAACCCCATCAATGATAATTTCCAAGCTGTACGTCATGCTTAGAATGTACTCTTTCAGAAAATTCCTGTATTTCTTGACTTCTGATTGCATTTCATAGAAACATAGAAACAGAGCGAGTCAGAAGGGACCTCCCGGGCCATCTAGTCTGACCCCCGATTCCAGCCAGCTCCACTCATGACATGCCCACCATGTGCATGTCCAGCCTATCTTTGAACACCCTCACCAATGGGGCCTCAACCACCTCCCGTGGAAGCCCATTCCATACCCTTGGGGACCTGACCACCAGGAAATGCTTCCTGGTATCCAAATGGAACCTTGACTCCCTGAGCTTTGCTCCGCTGGAGCACCTCCTGCCTTCCTCTGCAGGGGAGAACAGGTCTCTACCCATCTCCATGTGACATCCCCTCACATACCTGTATGTAGCCAACAGATCCCCTCTGAGTCTCCCCTTCTCCAGGCTGAAGAGACCCAGTTCCCTCAGTCTCGCCTCATATGGCATCCCCTGCAAACCAGGCGCCAACTTTGTGGCCCTACGCCACTTTCTCTGTACTGTGGTTTGTGTAATGTTTTAATGTCTTCTATTTTTATTTAACAGTGGTTTTTATATTGCTTCTGTGTATTTTTATATAAACTGCTTAAGAAACACATATTCAAGTAGCATCAACCGCACCCCAAATGAATGAGTCCAACTATACAGCCAAGATTGCTTATTATTAGGGTAACTCCCCCTAGCACATAACCAGCATCTGCAGGCCATGTTAGGTTATTTCCCCTCTGTCTATGTCCCCCTTCCTCAAAATAATAACCAAGTCCCCCAAGACTCCTTAACTTGCAGCATTGGAGCTAGTAGCATGGGAGTGGAACTCTATTACATAGTCCCTGAAGGGCTCTTTTAAGTTCCCACTTTCAGCTTCACCACTTCAGTAAACTTGCCCTCCCAGGCATTTCTTGACTTTAGCACAGATGTAAAGCATGGATAGGCAACTTGTGGCCCTCCAGATGTTGTTTAATTGTACTACTATCATCTCTCATCACTAACTGTGATGGATAGGACTGAGGGCAGTTCCTGTTCAACAACATCTGGAGAGCCACGAGTCCCCCACCTCTGTGATATCTTCTTAAAAGGCAGAAAAGTCCTATTGAAAGAAACTATGTCAAAACAAGAACAGCAGCAACTCTTCCTCCTGCCTGCCTCTCCCCTCCCCTCCCCTCCCCACACACACATACAATCTTCTACTTCCTGCCCTTTTATCTCAGAAGGTTATAAGATTTTTAATGGATGAATATTTGTGTCCCTATCTTCTTTTCCCACAGTCAAACTGTCACACTGTGTGACTTTTAAGTAGTTTTTGTGCTCTTCCATTGTGAGCTCCCTGGGCTCAAAGTGGGAGGTGGGTAGATGCTGATCATGCAGCTTATCTCTCACAGAAAGCATTATTTCCATTTTTTCTGGTCATATTAAATGTCATGGAAGTTGACTGAAACTGCTCATTTAAAAAAAAAATCAACTGTAACCCCCCCCCCCCCCCTCAACTGCAAAAATCAGGTCAATCTGAAGCAAGCATCAAAAGGAACTTTTGCCTTGGAGCAATTCCAAACATTAGACAAGAAGCAGAGAAGGTAAGATTGCAAATCTCTCCCACTTCAGCTGCTTACATTTATAATACATTTATTCATTACATTCTAAAGGGCCCATGAACCAGAGTGTTCTAGGCGGTTGACAGTATGATGAAGTATAATATAAAGCCTTTAACTTTCAAGAATTTAACATAATTTTAAAACAATTAACATTAAAACTATTAGGATTGGTTTCTTTTTCCTCCCATTTTTCCCCAGCTGTTTTGATCCCTCTTCTCAGCAATAAGTTGCTGCTGATGATGAGCAGAGAAATGTGAGTTCAAAGTCGTGCTTTTGTGTTGTTGTATGATTCAAGATCTTCTGCCTTCTGCCTGGTGAGAACAAATCCTTTGTTTTATAGTCATAATCGAGCATTTAACTTGTGTGAGTTAATTTGCTCTTTCAGTAGAATGAGCTTCTGCCATGGGGCAAACCCCTTTCTACCTTCCACCCCACTGGCCCCAATGAGTACCAGTCACTGCTTTTGGGGTAATGGGCATCTGTGTGGGGGAAGCAGGAGAACCAAAGCTCGTATTTGTTCTCAGACACAAAACTTTTAGATTCTTGAGAATGTGGTGTACAAATCATAGCACTAGAGGGAGGAGGGTAAGGTGAAGAAATGAAACTTGTGAAAGGTACAGTTTTCTAAACAAGCAACAGAAATAAACCTTATTCTAGAACTGGGATTTAATGTCATCTTTTAAAGAATTGGCAGATTGTGGAAATGACTTGGATACTGTCCCACATCCTCTTCCCATATGTGTTTCCTCATGAAGGCCTGTTTCAAGCTTGGAGTGGTCTTACAATCAAAACAAATTAAGATATTAAAAATAACTATGCAGGCTCTGTAGTTGTATGTTAATACCAAACAACATTTTCAACTTCTTTTCAACATCTAGTTGCATATACACTCTGAAAATTAAGTTCCCCTTAGAGACAAGCAGAGTAATGGCCTATTTCTTATGCAGTTAGTTGGCCCGAGACAGCAATTCTGATAACTTCATTTTCAAAAAGTATGTATATAAATGGTGCAGGAAGTCTGACAGTGAAGCCATTTAAAGAAAAAAGTATTCCAGATCATATAAATATCTATTCCCATTCCCCCCAAAAATGGGATTTCTTACTTCTTGCTTCCTATCACATTAAGTGACACCAGGGAAGTACCCAAATATTCTTAAGGTACTGCAAAAAGTGCAGTATTTTAACATTTGGTACATAGATAGTTCAAAGCAAATGTTTTGAAAATGTATGGGAAGAATACACTACTGTTCCACAAAACATAAATTTTCTTCAAAGCCGTGGCAACAGTTCAACATACAGCTAGTTAGGCAAGTGGAATATTAGGCTACACACAAACAATCTGATTTTTTAAAGGCCTAAGAATTGCAAATTGGTTCCCCCAAATAAAAATGCCCCAAGAGTTTCCAGTATTAGTGGTACAATCTATAATGTAATTAACATGAACAGCCTAAAGAAGCTATGTGTGCATATAAATTAGATCAATTTCCATTTAAATGACAGAAGCCACTCATTCTGGCAAAAGCAACTCATTCATAGTGATCTTCAGGTTTTACTCTTTCATGAACATGAGACAACTATAAATTTGTGAGATTTTTCACATGGGGTCATAGCTAAACATCCTTTACTGCCAACAGAATTGTTTATGCCAGTGCAATGGGGAGGGGGAACTTTCATCTTTGCAGCCCTGTGCATGCCCACAAATCATATTGAGGGTTTGAGGGACCTTCTGGAGCAGACTGGAGAAAATGGGTAGGACAGGCAGAAAGTCCCCATGCACAAGCAGAAGTACACATTTGCAACACTGGATTTCCAAAAGTACATTTCTTTTATCAATGAAGGAAACTGTGTGTAAGGGCTTCCCACTCCTTAGATTTTTGACACAAATATTTACATTTGTCTGAAAATGTTACCACTTGTTTAGATTTTTGATCACACACTAACCCAATTAGCAACTTGGAATGCAGCTTTGTTTGGGAAAGGTGCCCCAAATACAATATAATGGAGGAATGTACAAGTTTTCCCTTTGCTCAATTTACCAAACAGTGACTGGCAGGGAATCTGGGGGGACCCCTAGCAGCAGCCAGACACATATCCATGTTTGGAACTATAAGCACTATGTATACCTAAATGCTAAAGAGAAGTTTGCACTATTGTTAAAATAAAGCACTTTTCCTTGACATGAACTATAAAGCACTTACCCGATATACCATTTGATTCCTTCTGCAGATTACAGTACCAGAGTCTGTTCACTGGATCACAGCCTTCCCGTATGGAGAGCAAAGCATATTCTCCATCATCGGATACCTGCAATTTCAAAATTAGGACAACACAAAAATGATCTCTTATCAAATCAGTCCCTCAAAAGGTTTTTTTCTAAGAAAAAAGCATACTGCAAAACTCAAACAGGAGACAAGCATTCAAAATGTACTAAATACTGATGTATTCTATATTTGATTGACATATGGGAATGGCTTCCTAAAATGGCAAAACAATGGAATGGAGAAGGAGGATCCTTTGAGTTAATTCTACTGTTCAGACACAGAGTCAATAAATTTTGAATTCAGAGTTATGACACAACATTATTCTGATAAACCCTACCTATCTTTAATTAAAGCAACTGGGGAAAAAAGTTCCTCCCATCTCATCTATGCGGCTAGTCACGCTTACCAAACGTTATGCAAAATGCAAGGTGACAGTAGACAGGGTCAAAAATTATAGTGACAGATCTTTACTGAGCATAACTACTCTACAGAAAGCATCCTAAATTAATTATACCACTACTCAAATGAAAATTTATCAAAGATCAGTGAAGTGCAGTTTTTATATTCTGTCCTATTCTCCCCTCCCTTTCTCTCTGTAGGTATCTGGGTAGGGGATTTTTGTTTGTGGTTTTTTTGAACTTACATATTTGAATATTTAAATTACTGGTATAAAATCTCTTTCAGCTGGAGTAGCAAAGTCCATTCACAGAAGCTCTCAGGGGCTATATTCCAGCGATGGGCAACATCAAAGACAAAAACAGGTTGGGCAAAAAATGCACCAAAAATTCCAGCATATTGCAGCTTAAAGCTCTAGCTGTCAGTAATTAAGGTTTAGGAGAAGCATTTGACCTTTTAGAATGGGAGGAAAACCTGCACAGACAATTGGTAGTTGGAGGAAAGGGCAGGGGACCAGGCAAAGGGAAGCCCCAGAGGACTAGACTGAATGTCTAAAAGGTATTTGCCCCTGACCCTGAGATTCTGCATTCTTACCTCAAATACTGATAATATTCTGATCAAATCTTTCTTTTAAAATCCAAACAGCAGCTGCTGCATGCAGGGCAGAAGGGGCGGAGGTGATAATTACAGCAAAGTCCTAGTTCGAAGCTGCTGTTTGCACTGGAAGGAAATTCTCCACTGGTGACACATAAGGAAGGAGAACAGATTTGACTCCTCTCCCAATTGCTGTAATCCTAATAATGGTGTCCCTCCAACTATGACTTGAATTTTTAAAGTGCAAATTAAATGCAAAGATACATGCATCTGATGTCACCACTAGCTTGCTCCTCAGTCTGCACAAAGCAAAATCCACATGCAGGTAAGTGTTTATCCTTCCAAGATTGTAAATATCAGCCTTGTAGCTGTCAGCAGGTCTTACAGGATTACAGGTCTTGCTTATCAGAAAGAGAAAAGCCACAGTTCAGGTTCCAGACAGAATGCTAAGCAAGCCATGGCTGGACTATCCCTGGCATGTTTTGCTCCTCCTACTGACACAAGGAGCCAAGTGGGGTTAATTACGTCATATACAATACTTGGCTGGCTCACCAGTAATAAACCAGGTTTAAAACAAAAACAAACAAATCCCAAAACATCTAGGGTATGATTAAGTATGAACTGGGGCCTTGCCTTGCAAAGTGCTTGCATCAATATGGTTCATAAAATTTAGAACAACCTATTCCAGAAATTTGAGGATCCTTGATCCACAAAATGATCAGTCTGTGGGTCATTGTTCCTTGTATTGTAGTTCATAACTACTGGGATGGTTTATTGAGAATACACAAGAAACTGTAACTTTTTTATTATAAAGTTTCAGAAAAAAGGAAAGGAAAAGCTAGCTACACATATTTGACTATATTAATTTCAATACATATATAAGAAATATATGTGTGGGCTTATGTGTATATTTGTAACAAATATAGCTTTCTAAGACCCATATATAAACTTTAACAAAAGGAGACCAAAGATCCAAATAAGTATCAATCTTCAGGTAGTGTACATACACTCCAACACTGAAATAATTACAAGAACTTCAGTACATTGCATTTATCCTCTCTTCCCCAACAAACCAGGGTTGTATCCCTGGGTTTGTTCTTGGGTCTGGGAATTTTTATATGCAAAGCATGTGTTCTACAAATTTTAAAAGTGGTTAATGTATCTAGCCTTTGATAATGAATTTTGTCAGAGCAAAATAAATTGTGAAACTTTTTTTTTCCTTTGGGGGAACTTCGTGAGCAAGACCCGCTGTCTCTCACTGCAGAAAGCTGAGCACATCTAATGAGCTTTTGTCTTCAGCAGTCCCTGCTGGACTAGCAAACAAATTGTAATAGTTTGCTTAATGTTATTCTCAGAATACATCCCTAATCTAATTCCCCAGCACAACAACACACAATTAGATCTGTTTTCATTTCTAGAGCTGCCTTTCCAACAAGAGTTTGGAAACTTAAAGGAATTCCAACATACGGAGGCAAAATATTATTGACTGCTGCATTCAAAAATTACATCTTCATATATATACTGAACACAAACTAAGGGAGAGTATTAATGCCTCTCCCGCAGCAGAGACAGAAAGTCCTGGAGAAAAAAAACTCAGATTTCTAAAACAAATGGAGGCTGGGGAATAATTGTTTCCCTCTCAATGTTTTCATTTTTTCCCCAGGGCCTTCCCTATCTCTCAATTTACAGAAAGGTTCCTAATTTGCACATAAGGCTAACCCATGATTATGGGTTGTTGCATTCTTGGCTGTCGTGATGTGTTCATGCAGCCATATGACCAAACCAAGGTTTCCTGGCCAGGAACAATCGGCTGATCCATCAGCCGCGTCCCTTCCTGGAGAACGACTGCCTGGCGACAGTGACACATGCATTGGTAACTTCCTGATTAGATTTCTGCAACGCGCTCTACGTGGGGCTACCCTTGAACATGGTCCAGATACTTCAGTTGGTGCAGAATAGAGCTGCCAGGCTGCTGACGCGGACTGGGCGTTGTTCTCATATAACCCCAGTTCTCCGTCAGCTCCACTGGCTCCCGATTGAAGTCCGGGCCCAATTCAAGGTGTTGGTTATGACCTATAAAAGCCCTCAAAGGCTTGGGTCCTGAGTATCTAAAGTAACGCTTGTGCCCATATATGCCCTCCCGCCCCCTGAGATCAGCAACAGATGCCCTTCTCCAGGAACCCTCTGTGAATGATATTAGGAGGGTGAGTACCCAGAGGAGGGTCTTCTCTGTGGTGGCACCCCACCTATGGAATGCGCTCCCCAGAGAGGCCCGCCTGGCGCCATCATTATTTGTTTTTTGGCGCCAGGCTAAGACCTTTTTATTTAAAACTTATTTTAAGTGTTAATTTAGTGGCTATTTGTAGGATTTAAAAATTTTTAAGCCAAGATGCACAGGGTTTTAATATTGTTATTGTATAACTTTGTTTTTGTTGTAAGCCACCCCGAGGCTTTGTTGCGACGGGGGCGACATAAAAATGTTTTAAATAAATAAATAAACAACCTGGAAAGAGAATCAATGTCTTGTTTATTCTGAACTCTGGGTTATTTAAGCCAGTGGTTTTCAACCACCAGTCCTCTGGCATTTCCTGCCAGTCCGTGAAAGAGCTGCTGTTGTGTACATGTACATCAGGGACATTTCGTTGGCTACAGACCAGCGCTGGGCTCTCACTGCAGATTCCTCCCCAGGGAGGGGAGAGGCAGGTTAATGGGAACCAGAAAGGAGCCGCACCACGCTGGGTCTGCCCTCTGGCTGGGGACCCAAGACCATCTTTTCTTTCTCTACTGTGTTTTTTGCTGGAAAGGGAAACGCTGAGGCAGGCTTGTGCTAAGAGTGTTTTCTCAGCCAGTCTGTCCTGGTATGTATTGGGGTTTGAGGGGGGGATCACTCTATTTAACATTATGAATTTTATTGTACTGAGTAACTTCAATTGATTTTGTATTGCTCTGCTGTTGATATTGTATTTGAATTTGTATTTGCTATGAGTACAGTATTACATTTATATTATTTTGTATTTTGCTATTGTAAAATTTTGATCAAGTACAGTGGTACCTTGGCTCGCGAACTTAATCCGTTCCAGGACTCTGGTCGTGACCCAAACTGGTCATGAGCCAAGTCAAATTTCCCCATAAGGGTCAATGTAAATAAGGTAAATCCGTTCTGTAACTATTTTTTTAAACAGAAAAATGTGAATCAAAGTGACAAAGAACAACAAAGATCGTGGCCACCTCTCTCCCCCCACCCCGAGCACAAGTGTGGCCATCTCCCCGCCCCCCCCCAGCACGACTGTGATCGTGCCCGTCATCCCTGCACATGCCCGTCATCCCAGCGCGCTGGGGTGGAGGGACAGGGACAAGCGCGGACGTGCTTGGGGGGAGAGATAGGCTCGAATGTCGGTGTGCTGGGGGGAGAGACGGACGCGATCCTGCTGGGGGGGGGGGATGGCTAAGATCGCAGTTGCGCTCCTGCAGGAAAGACAGGTGCAATCACGGGTACACTCATGCAGGAAAGATGGGCACAATCTCGGCCATCTCTCTCTTCGCCCCCAGCACGATCATGGCCATCTCCCCACTCGGGGTGGGGGGGGGGGTAGATGGCTGCGATTGCGGTTGTCACCCAATGTGGAGTTCGCAACCTGAGTCAAAATTTTTATGAAATTTTTGTTTGCGACCTGATTTGGTCGTGAACTGAGACATTTGTGAGCCAAGGTACCACTGTATTCTTGAAAAGAAGCAACAGCAGATTTTGCAGTAGCCTTATTTGAATTACATATTGCTCTCTAAAAATTTCAGTTGCATTCAATTACATTTAATTTCTATATTATATTCTTTTATTAGCATTTTTTGCTGCTCAGCTTCCGGTTATTTTAGAGAAATTTCTTTTTTGGTACTATATTTAAATACTAATACATAAAATACTATATTATGTATGTAATGCTTTTTATTTCTGCTTCAGCGGTCCCTGAAATTATTTTCCTAATTTTGCCGGCCCACAACTGTAAAAAGGTTGAAAACCACTGGTTTACGCTAGGGATTAACCCAGAGGAAAGGGTTGTTCAGTAGTCACTACATCAGGCTGCAGAGGTAGAATGCGAGAGCAGTAAAATACTAGCCATCATACTACATGCCAGTATTACAGTGCCACAAAGGCATGTAGGGTGGAAGAGAGTAAGAACAACTCAGGGATGAAGAAAACAAACCATGGCTTGTTTTGACTGGCTGCCAAACAAGACCTGAGTGTGGTAACAAATGATGGGTTAAATAAAACACTGTTTAGCATTTATAGATGCTTTGCCACCCACTCTTCCACACTCCACCTACTGTCTGCTGGCCAGCAAAATGCCTTTCTTACTTCAATAAGGCAAAGTTGTCATATGTGATAAAATTCAGAAACTGGTTCTGTTGCTAGATAGGTGCTTTCTTTTATGTGGAATCATCACCAGTTTAAGGTTGATGTTAACTGTGTCACACACAAAATATTTCAATAACAGGCTGTTAAATGAAGCAGCCCAAACACGAGCCCCACTAGCATGTTGGAAAGCAATGAAATATATTGAAAAGGGCAGAAAACTGGAGGCAAGCAGACCCCAAGTCATGCATATGAAAGCAGGATGGTGAACTACTGTTTCGTATGCCCAAAGAGTTAGGTTCAAAACGAAGAGAAAAGAGAGACAAGTGAGTCCTGGCAGATGGTGCTGGGGAATTCCAAAGCAAAACCACTTCAATAAAAATGTGTTCTTGGCAGCAAAATGTCTCCTTTTACTCAACTGAAGTCACTGAAATTAAAATTAATTCTTGCTAATATTTTATTAGATTTATATATCTCCTTCCTTCCATGACAATCCATCTTAAAATGGCTTTCCGCCCAGACCTCTTCTTTTGAAAAATTTCAATAAAATTTTAATGACTGAGGGGAAAACAGGACACCGGAGATAATGCAGAAATAGCTGTCTCTGCGACTGTAATTGCTCTGAAAGCAATTTTGTTCACAGTGCAAAGCCAGGGACACCTATCTTCAGACTCAACCAAGGTTCAAATTAGATGTAACTAGACTGAGATGGAAGATTAAATGATCAAGGATTAAATTCTATATTTAATTTAACAGAAGAACTGTAATTAGTTATACTCTTTTCTCCAACCCTTTCATTATATAGTGTGCAAATATATTCTCTTGAGATTTAAAATATAGCGGAGGACTTTGTCCCTTATGACTCAAGAGTTCTCTAGTGCACACAGTTAGTAAGCTATTTTACAAAAATCTTGTAAATTTTTTAGTGCGCACAGTTAATACGCTATTTTACAAAAATCTTGTATCTGTTTATGTAATGAATTGATCACATCTGAATACACGTGCATAAACCTAAAACCTCTGTGCACTTTCTAACTATTACAGCTAGTCAGACTTCTTGCCAGGTTTACACTTCCACCAGTACATCTGTCAGCTCCTGCATCTGTCATAGTTACATTGCAATCCTATATCTGTCTACTCAGAAGTAAAACTTGTAAGTAAAATGGGGCTGACTCCCAGGTAAGTGAGTATGGGATTGCAGCCTTAATGTATTTATTGGAACCATTAACCCAAACACAACCACTTATCCTTGTTTCTACTTTAACACTAATGTACTTTTCAACAGGAAAATAGCATTTGTCACATAAAACAATCAAATAAAACGGGAGTGTTTATCTGGAAACAGGATCATACTCCCACACTGCATGCTCCTTCCAAAGAGGCCAGTTTCAGCTATGTTAGGCAGCACACCCAGCCATGAGATTCCAAAGGGAAGATGCTGAGCTGCCTGCCTACTCAGAAGTCATGCTCTTTGAGCCTGGAGTACTGTCCCTTATCCTAAAGGCCTGGGAAGATGGTGGACCATTGGACTACCATCAGTCAACCCATCATGTCCTTCCCACAACTCATCAAGTTTCCTAGCATAAAGCTTAAGACCCAGATCCTTTTCACTAGCACAGGAGCACTGCCAGAGATGGAGACAGCCTCTGAGTTTCTTGTCCTTTCGTTTCTCTGCCTCTCAAGATGTCTTCTCATTCATTCTCTGTGTCTTGACAGTATGGTGTTACCCGACTCCAGAACGACTGGAGGGTTTAGGTATTGGCAGAGTTGTCCTTCCACTTTCCCCAGGAGACAGCCTGCAGAGATCCCATGCTGCTTATTTCATTTACATTCCATTCAGACCATTTGTGAAGATTCTATTGCATCACTTTCAACTCATATAGTCATTGCCCAAGACGGCAACTCTCACCAATTCCTCAGCACACTGCAACGTGGATATTGCTTCAATCTATCTCATATTATTTTGTCACTTTAATATTCAAACAGAACTACAAAGAACTCTTAGATGATCACTTCAAGGCCAAGTTCTTGCGCAGCTGAAGTGATTATGGTTTTAGACATTAAAATGGATTTCTGATGCAAAGTACCCCATTTATATTTCTACTTTTTTGCTGTGTTATTTGAAAAATGCAGAGGGGAGAGAAGGAATCAATTCCTAAAAATATTTCTGCCCCCCCCATTTTATTTCTGACATTACTCCAAGAATGTGAACTTGACTGAAAACAGCAGCAATTACAAGACCATTTCAAATGTCCAAGGCTTTTCACATCACTTAATTTACACACCACAGCATGAAACAGCATGCCACAGCGCCCTCTTCTGGGCACCATCTCAACCGCTTTCTCTCTACTTGCAGCCTAAACTCTGTCCACATCAGCTACTGCACACAGGAAAAAGCCAGGACCATCCATCGTCATTCTGTTTCTGATCAGAACAGATACAAACATACACATCTTATGTTGAGAACAGAGCTGGAGAAATACCTTGGCTAAGGGCTAAAGGAATGGCTCTTTTGTTATGTTATTTGATTAGGTTATTCAGGTTTCTCTTCTCCCCTCTCCCCCCACCACAATACTTTTACAAGGCGAGGTTAAAAAGAAAGCATTAGGGCAGGCAAAGCTTGATTTATTTTATGCATCTGTTCATATTTATATCTTGCCATTTCTCCAAGGACGTCAGGAGAACATACATTCTCTTTCCTTCCTCCGTTTTATTTATCCATTACATTTAAATTCTGTCTTCAAGGAGCCTAAGGTAGTGTACATGATCCTTCTTTCCATTTTATCCTCACAACAACAAAACTGAGAATTAGTCACCCAGGAACCTTCTTGGCCAGGTGAGGGCTCAAGCTGGGTCTCCTCAACCCCAGTCAAACCCGCATTCCCTACACCACAGTGCCACTTCATGTTATCCTGGCAGCAGTGATACAACTGGCTCTGTGAGCTGCCTGCCTACCTACTCTGGAAACTAGATCACGACTGCCCCACCCTGGTTCTCAGGGGCCCCATTCTATGGGGAGGGGGGCAGTGGGGGAAGCAGAAAGACAAGAATGTGGGAAAAAGCCTCCTGCATGCCAGAGCTAAATGTTTTTCCTTCCAGTAGCTAACTCTTAGGACAGGCAGTGTGACCTCTCGGAATAGGGAAAAAATGTTCAATAGTTGGGAAACCACTGAACAATTGGTATTGTGGGAAAGGGGGGTGGTCACATGGGGACCCCAGACGGCTGCATCAGGACTCTGTACTGAGGGCAGTATGGCCCTGAGATTCCTCACCCTCACTCGCAGGTCAGCTCTGCTTGACAGAGGGAACTGTAGGGCTTTTTTTCTTCCTGAAATATGCATAGGATTGCACCTTTAGAGAGTTCAAAGGGGAAAGGCAGGTGGCTAACCATTCCGTGTTCATTGGACCACCATGAAACCACCACCAGTCCTTCTCCCCAACCCATCAGCTTTCCTAGCCAGAAGTTTAAAACCTAACTGCTTTTACTAACACAAGGTGCATGCCACAGATGGAGATGGCAGCTGAACCACAGGCTCAAATTGCATCAGCCACTCCCAGGGACTATCCCCATTTCCATCTCTTGCCATTTATCTACTGTGTGTATCAGCCTTGGATGGTGATACAACAGGTTAGCCAGCAGTGGTGGTTCCCATCAGAAAAGCGCTAGAGTGCCTCTGCATGTACAGCCAGATCACACCATGGGACAATGCACAGTCCTGACACCAACAACCATTTCCCATAAAGCGAATAAAATGTAAAGAGATGTAGCGAGTAAAAGCTGGGTTTTCAGCCAGGATGACATGAATGGAGAAATGCTTGTACAGCACTCTTTCCTGCAACTTATATGCTCATATGCAAGTTTCTGGGCTTTGGGTGAATCAGGGTTGCTAATTTCAAATCACTGTGAATGTCAACTACACTTTGTCCTCACTTCAGGAAGCAAAAATATGTTTCTTTCAAATATGTGGTACTGCTCCTGGGTTTGAACAGTTCTTCCAAGGTTTGGCCAATTACCTTCTCACCCAACTCATCTGACAGGGCTTTCTGTGACTAACAAGTGTACAACACCACATATATACATTGCCCTGAGGGTGGTGCAACACAAATGCGAGAGGCGGATAAGCTAGCATTTATCCCAGTCAAAGTAACAGCAGAGCCAAGGTGGTAAGAAGTGCCTATTCTGCTAATATTTTACACCATTTGAAAAGTGCTTCCCATCTTGTGAAACCAGAAAGGACACTTAAAAGGCACAAAACTAATATCTGAGATTCTATCTCTTCTCTTCTTTCTCTTAAAAGAAAGCAAATATGTTCACAAATATTGATGGCAGTAACAGGATTAAGATTTTTTTGTTAACAAAACAAACCATGTTATTTTAAAAACCAAGTATGTATGTGTTCCCCTGCACAACAAAGAGACTTGATTGTGGTCCATCACTCTCCAATTTTTATAAAAAGAAGTGCCAAGAACATAGCAGATAAAAAGACGATGGGCTAAGAATGATGCAACAGGCAAACACACTTTGAGAAATATTGAAATCTAGAAGTTTTCCACAGTTGTTCACGTCCTCAAAACAGCAGTATTCTTACTGAAACCAATAATATGGCACCACCATTAATCCAAAGAAATTCAGAGCAATACATTCATGCAGTGTATCAGTCTCTTCACATTAAAAACAAAATGAAATGCATCCTACCTCGGCTCTTCCCATCCATTTTGGCTCATGAGGAAATTCAGCACATAAAACATCCTTTGACTGGTCAGTTCCCAGGACATGATAGCATAACTTCTGGTGCAGGTTGGTTGACGTCTCAGTGCCTGGGGCAATCAGTATATTTAATTATATGTACATAAGGTACATTTCAAAATTTCTTTGTCTTTGCACTAGTATAAAGTTTCACACTTTCACAGATTAGAAGCTATTTTTTGGTGAAGTAACAAAAGTTTATACTGCACAACATTCAACATTTTGATGGACATACCACCAAGAAGACTGTGTAATGTCAACAAGGATCATTCTTTTTAGCATAATTTTTGCTTATGTTATATGTATTTTGTATTTTTTAGCATACACTAGGTTACTATTATTTAATTTAGCTTTCAACCATAAAGAGATTACAAATGAGCAACATGGAACTTTGAGTGGAACTTCAAACCATCCAGTTGTTTTAGAAAAAGAAGCTGTGCTGGCCAGTTTGGAGGAGGGAATGAAAAGAGAAGCCAAGGCACTGGGAGACATAGCTCCCAAAAGAAACAGCAATATTCACAAAATGAAGACAAGTCACTACAAGAACCAAGACGGTGTGGTGGTGACTGCTGGACTGGCAACCTGGGAGATCTGGTTTCTAACCTTCACCCTCTGTGAAGCTCAATGGGTGGCTTTGGGCCAGCCATCGACTCTTAGCCTAACCTACCTCACAGGTTTGTTGTTGTGAAGATAAAAATGGAGTGGAGGAGAACTATTTAAGACTCCTTGGCTTCCTTGCAAGAGGAGAAAGGTGGCATATAGATGCAATGTAATCAAGATAGTAACAGTAATGTAATGACTTGAGGGGAAGCTGATGAAGGTGACAGAGGCCTGCAGCTAGGATATACTTGTTCATGACTGAGTAGTGTATGCCACTCACCATCACTTTTGCCATCTTGCTTTGGGTAGCTGTTGTAGAACATGCCCTTGCCATCGTGAGTCCAAGCCATGCAACTGAATTTTACCATCTCCAGTGTGTCTGGAAGTTCCTCGGCACCATCAACCTTCATAAATTTTATTGTTACCCAGTCTGACCCACTGGAACTCAAGCCATATGCAAAATATTCACCATCTTCACTGAAAGCATAACCTGCAGATTAAAAATATTCCATTCATTACTTGTTCACATTAACAACAGCATTTTCCTTTAGATCAGGTCTGGGGTACGGGTGACTCTCAATGGGTCGTGACAACTGTATCCGGCCTAGCCTGTATAGCTGGGGTGAAGATGATGGTTCTTGCAGTCCGACAATTTCTATTTCCTGCTTTGGATTATGTTCCCGCTTTGCCTTCGACATAAGCACAACAGTTAAAACTGAAAAGCTGCACAACTTCTGACACTGATATACACATGCGCACATCTACATAGAGAGCTGCTTAATTCAAACTATGCAAACCCTACACAGGTGTCCAAAGTGAAACATTCTGAAAATTCTGTTACACTGACCTCGCAAAGCCACAGTGCCATCATCAGAAAGCTTATTTGGGTCAAGAAACACTTTTGCATCAGCATCCAAGGAATCTTGTACATATAATACTCGCTGATTCTGAAGTCCAGAATTATAAAAGTGAAAATATCTAAAACACATGGAGGAGAAAATAAAGGTTTTTGTTTGCCTGGATAATTTTGTAAACAGACTTGCACTATACTTAACATTTAAAGCAATCTCAAAAGTGGTGACAGACTTATAATACATGAAAGTGGCCTTTGAATGGTAAAATGCAGATCTGCCCATTTCAAAGTTCATATACAATTCATCAATAAAGATACTTAAAATTGATGTCACAACAAAGTTATCAAGTCACATTAAAGTCATGCACTAACACACTTAATAGCTTTTGCAATTAACATAGTATGTAATTAATTGAAACACTAAGAGTTCTTTGCCTTCCATTTGCCAAAGATAAAGTTTGCAATCCTATGTGTATTTTGACAGAGGCTGAAGAAGCTGTAGGACTTCTTTCCTGTCTAAATGAGCATTAAGTTGACCAACCACCAAAAACTTAGGGGGTCCAGGAATTTCTAATAGTCTGGGTGATTTTTCAGCAGCCAGAGCAGTCAAGCCCCCTCTTGCACTATGGAATGGTGAAATGTGACAGCCAATTGTCACGGTCACTCTGAATGACCCTTTCAGCATCATGGAATCCAAAACTCCCTGGTTTACTGGGGGATCTTCAGATGGTGAAATAGGCCAGGAGCTTAAATGGCATAAGATCCATCATGAAGGGGATCAAGAATGCGTAAGAGTGTATAATCATGCCTACAGCATGGTGGTGATGGCAGCAGGGAGGTCTTACTTTGCCACCTCCTTTTGCATCCTTGAGTAGCTGTCCAGCTGAGCTTATCCAAGCATTGCAGGGGTCACTTTCAAATAACTTAACGAACACAATACTGGAACCCTTCAAGGCCCACTGTGAAGAATTTGCAAGACATTTTCAGGATAAAATCGTGTACCTTCAGGCTGATTTGAGCATTGCTATTAAGGCAGTGTCTGTTGAGGCGTCCAGTGCATTGCATTAGCCTGTTTTGCGGGATCAGTTTCAGGTTTTGAAATTTAAGGATGTACAAGTAACCACATGCTCTCTTGACTTTTGCCCTTCTTGGCTTACTTGTGTGAGCCATGGGGGACTGACCAGAAAAATCAGAGGAGTGGTGAACACACTACAAGATAGTGTGGCCACTACTACCTTGAACAAAGCAGTGGTATTATCTGTATCCATTCCAGTCTAGAGTCAGAACTGGTTTGGGGAGGGAATCAGGTTTGACTGTACATGGATCATCTTCTTTGACAGAATGTGACCCTATTACTTCTTCTGGATATTATTACTTATTTCATTTCTATTCTGGCTGATAGCTGGTGCTGTCTGGGCAGCTTCTGATACCACTTCTGATACCACTGAACATGGTCTTCCTGGACCATGTATTAGTTACTGAGTCATTCTCAAGGTTGTATTATTGCTATACAAAACACTAAACAGCTTAGGACCGGGATACCTAGGAGGGCTTGATATTCAAGTGTCAGGTCACTGTTCTGTTTTTAAAAGCCACAGATGGGATCAAAGGTACAGAACTTGCTCTATGATATTCTGTTCTGCCATCAAAATCTCATTTTTGCACAATCATAGCTATAACCGTTTGACTTACAGAGAGAACATCTAAAGAAAACTTTGTACTGGGTCCAAGAGTTATTTGACAAAACCCCAAGAAGTACTTGCAACAAATTCTATGAATGTGACAGGTGTTCAAGAAATAACGCTTTTGTCACAGACTTCATAACTGCCAGGGAAACCACTATGGGATACTTTACAGAAGGGATGCTTGGCTCTCAGAGAAAATCTAGGCTCTTTCAGTTGTCATTTAACAAACAGAACACCCCTTCCTCTCGCTGTTACACTTGGGTCAAAACTAGTGCGTAGCTATGCCTCCCTTTCTATTTTTATTCATTAAAAGTACGCAGAGTGCATGCATTGGGTTCTTAACAGGAATGCCATATGAGAATGCAACTAAAATTGGCACACATGCTCACAGCCCAGCACAGTTAAAGAGCTTAGGAAAGGAGTCCCCATTCACACATGAGCAATTTTCCTAAGCATTTTAGGTGTGCAGGATGTTTATGTGCAATTTACTTCTAATCACACCAGGGAGGCAAGAAATAAATCACTTATAATAATGTAAGAAGGGAGGGATAGCTACAGGTTTATATAATAAATATAAACTGCAGTTTGGCCCTTAAGAGATCCCAAAAGAAGTAAAAGCAGTTTTGTTTGTTAGTTACATGTATATCCTGCCTTCCTCCAAAGAGTCTAAAGTGGTTTACATAGTCCATTTCCTCTCCATTTTACCCTCACAACCACACTGTAGGGTATGTTAGGTTGAGGGCCAGTGACTGGCATAAAGTCAGGCCTAAGCAGAGACAAGAACCCAGCCTTCCTGAGTCTCAATTCCACGCTCTAACCTCCACACCACATGAGTTCTGTTTTATAATCAGTCACTCAGAAGGAAGTCTTTTTACTTCCAGTGTTGGAACCAATATATACAAAGGGAATGACTGGGCTGAAAAGCCAGGGAAGTGACAAAAATCTTCTTTACAAAGTAACCATTAAAAAGAATAAAACAGGGGAACATCCCTGTGTTTTCCTTCCTATTGTTCTATTTTCTTGGCAAGCTTGGATCTAATTTGTCTGGCTTAAGATTTAATTGGAAGATATACAGCATATATGTTCCTGTGCTGGGAGCCACTTAGTAAATGAACAAGACACGAATGACAATCCTCACCAATACAGCAAGCTTTCTAGCCAAGAGCTGATAAAATGCAATCAGGATCCACTGGCATGCACACCCAAAAATTCCTTACATACCTTTTTCCTTTCCTGAAATGACAACTGTACTTGGGGTAGTCATACAAATCAGTCATCTTCTCTTTAAATAGCCCTCGGACAGTACACTGCTCAAGAAAAGGCACCGTTATCTTATTTTGTGCCTCAACAAAAGCCTAAAAAAGACAGAAGAAATAAAAGATAGTCATTATCAAGCAACAGTAGCAAATGACCTAGATCAGAGGTGGGCAACATGCAGGCCAAAACTTCTGGAGAGCTAGAACTCCCATGATCCCTCATGACTGGTTATGGTGGTTAGTGCAGATGGGAGTTGCGCATCAAAACTTCCAGAAGGCCACAAATTACCCATTCCTGATGGTAAAAGCAAGATTTCGTAATGCCAAATAGTACTTCGTAGGTACAGTCTCAAAGGAGAGCCGAGTGTAACCCAATGCATTTGTTTCAGGAATGTGGCACCTCATGTCAGTAAAGGACTCTGTCAGGCATACAGCATAATAAAAAACCAAACTAAACCGATTTCCCAATTTTCAGGGCAGAAAAACAACCTGACTAGTTTCCCTTTCCTTTCAGCACCTCTTGTTACAATAGTTTAACTTTTGGGTCTTTTAAAGATTCACAGTGTTGCAATCCATGTTTTCCCCTCCAAACAGTATCAGCCTCACCACCATTTCTTTGCTTAATAACCTTTATTGTTAAACATAAGTCTCTGAGCACACACAACGTAGAGTGTTGAACCCTATCTACCATTCATTTCCCAAAGCTCTTCTTAGGAGCCCTTCTGTGTCTCAAGCCTGGAGAAGGTGCAATGTGAAAACAACCATGCCTCTACTCTTGCGCTACTAACTGAGCTACTCTCTGGGGTGGGCAGCATGCCACCTGGTCCAGCTTCTTAAGGGTCAGGGGATCTCCACTGGAGAAACTCCCCAAGTCAATGTCTTCTCCGTGGGCTGTAACTCCTCAATGTTCCCAGAGTTGGGCTGTTCTGTCCCCACAACTGCCCTTTGGCTAATCCTTCCCACTGCCACCTCCTCTTGGGTCCTAGCACCCAGGCTGCATCATTCCAAAACCAGTTTCATCTCATCCTCCTTAGCTGATTGGTTCCATTGTCATACTGCTCTGACAGTGAGGACATCTTTCCTGATATCTAACCAGAAACTCTTTTCCTCTAATTTAAGCCCATTATTCCATGTCCTGTACTCTGGGATGATCCAGAAGAGATCTAGGCCTTATTCTTTGTAACAGCTTTTCTTGATTCTCGATGGGAGCTAAATATGCCCTACCACAAGTTGTCAGTCACTTTTCATTGACAATCAAGCAGCTTTTTCAACTGGTTTTTCTAACACCACATCAAAGGACTTGCTTAAACATCTTCATCGTGAAACCCCTTTACCCCTGAGGCAGGCCACACTTTTACCACTTGTTCACCACACCCAGACTTGGTAAACAAAACAAAAAACAAAACAAAAACAAGCTGAGAGGCTTAAAGGGTCTAAAACTGCATGTAGGCATCAGAGGTATGAGCTATAATTAGATTTTAAAAACTCTTTGATCTAAACCCTGAAAAAAAACCTTGAGCAACTGCTTGATGTACATGAAACACATCTGTGTGAGCCAGCCTTCCCCACCCTGATGCCCTCCAGATGTTTGGAATGACAACTCCCAACATTCCTGACCATTACAGCTTGGGCTGATAAGAGCTGAAGTCTAAAACACCTGGGGGATGCCAGGCTGGGAAAGGCTGGTATAAGGAGAGAGGATTAGAAATCACAAAGTCATCACTGAAGCAGTAGCATGAACTGTAAAGCAGTGCTTTAAAGGTGAGGGGAATGTGAAAGCAGATTGCTGTTTTGAAAGGTACACCTGAATACATGCTTTAGTAAAGGACATCACTCAGTGTTTCTTTCAAAGCTTGTGAAATAAAAGCAAGAATGATTACAGGAAGATTGGATATTAGCTTCTGTGCAGCCTTGTTCCTTGTATGTTTACCTGGAAGCAAGCCCTGCTGTGTCCAGTAGGGCTTTTAACTCAGTCATATGAAAATATACTGAAACTAAGTCCCACTGAGTTCAATAGGATTTACTTCCAAGGACACACATGTCTAATTACATAGATTACATCTGAAATGCCATAACAACAGATGTCAAGGAGTGTAGATTTGAAGGGAAAGAAACAGAGTATGAAGGGATTGGGAGGGGGTATTATTAGCTGCTATAAAACAAATTATTAGTTTCTAGATGGAGTCACTGAAACAGTCGGCATGAGCTTAAGTGGACTCCGAGGGATGGCGGAGGACAGGAAGGCCTGGAGGAATGTTGTCCATGAGGTCACCATGGGTCCAACTTTGCGACTAACAACAACAATTCCCCAGTTCTGATTCAAGGCCCAAATGAAGTGATAAGGACAAGCTACAATCAAACATATTTGCACAACAGTGAGACACAAAATGAAGCTTCACACATCAGCCAAAGAACTCAATTTCTAATGCATTTAGAAAAGACAATTAACTGCACCAAGGTTCATTAGGAACACTGCACTTATAGCAAGATTTTAGTCTAAACCAACTATATTCTCTTTCTTAAGTACAAACCATGTCTTTCCCAACTGTATTTCAGACTAATCAAAACATATGTGCACCTACTGAATTTCCCAGCTTGTATTGTATTATATCTGCAGCAGTGCTAATACTGGGTAATACCAACCAGTATCTGATGTAAAAGTTTGCAAATCAGGGACTTAAAATCCTGGTTGTGAAGGGACTCTTACTTCATGTTGTGGCAAAGGGAATGCTAAATACAGCTGACCTGGGAAGGGAGAGAGAATTGACACTAGAGAAGAGCAAATCTGGGTGGATTATAATGAAGGCCAGGCTCAGGCCATGGTTAAGAGGAGTGTTCTTTGATAACTGCATTGGCCACTATGGCTAGCAAATATCTGGGCAATGTCTCCACAAGTGTGTTAAGAACACTGTGTGGGATGTGGACATGCCTGTTTTGTTCTTTACTCACATGCTGTGTAGGAATTAGAATTGATTCTTGTGGAGCAACTGCATTAACTTTTTGAAAGAAAACTAAGCAAAACCTAACATGTTCAAGTCTTCAGGAATACTGAATATGGCCGTGCTATGTTTTATACATAGTCACTACACATGGAGTTTTTTGAGGCTGATTTTTGGTGTACAATACCAATTTGTACAGTAATAGGACATGGATGTAACATGGCAACTCCAGAAGAAAGTTAAAACAGGTCTTACATAAGTGCTTTACTGCACTTTATCCTTTAAAGTGCACTTTATCCTTATGAAGCCCTGAATATGGCTGGATTCCACCAGATTCTTTAGTTATGTGACACTGATGCCAGCAAAGAGTATGTTAGTCAAGTCCAACAAAGAAGGGGACTTACTGAAAATACACCCAGCTATAGCGCTGTATGTTCTGTTATCACGTGAACGATGAGGGTAGAGAGAGCCCCTGTATTTCATCAGGGGATCATTACCATTTGTAAATCAGGTCTTCACATAAGTTCTCTGCACAGACTTACAAATATACAGTGATTTGGTAAAGGTTGGATATAATGTCTCCTGACAGTTGCTGTTCTTTGCCAATATAACCTCATTATATATAACGTGTAATTTTTATTCAGTGAAGAATAGGAAGGGAAATTACAATAGATTATAAAAATCATGTTAAATCCCTGACTCAGCCTACACTCTCTTTAATAACTGTTGACACCAGATTCTGTTTGCTTTCCCCACAGCTCACCTAACTTGTTTCAATTATCAGGGTGTGTTTATATTAAACACGTCTTTGTCCTACAGGCAGTTCTGCTATAATTCTCTTTAGCCTGTCATACAAGTAAAGAGAGTAGGATGCATCAATTTGCATTAATTATAGTGTTTTTCTGCTTCCAATTCATAGAACATGATATTAGGAGAACTTGGGTAATGATGTTAGAATGTCAGTTCTTACTGCTTAAATCAAGAGTAACAGAATCAAGAGTTAAAGAAGCACAAACTAGAAGTAAACTTTTTCAATGCCAACAAAGAATACACCACAAAAAATGGAAATATACTAAAAGTAAATAAAGCATAACAGAATATATAATCTTATGGGAGATGGTGGAAGTGAAGAAAGAAAATGCAGCTGAACAGATGAAAAGCTGTCTAATACTATCCTTCAAACCAACCCATTCTTGCATGTCTGCACTGAATAGCTGCAACTCTACAAGGACTCAGACAGGGGATCTTCCCAACTCCATTTCTTGGAATTAGCATAATACAGAATCAGATTAAACTCAGAACTGTCTATATTAGGCTGAGAAAAAAGTTGATTCCCTGATGTTTTGGACTTCAGCTCTTACAAACCCTTGCCAAGACAGCCAATAATCAGAAATGTCAGGAGTTCAAAATGTCTGGAAATCTACATCCTGGTGGGCATGTCGACCTGGTGGGCATGTCGTGAGCAGAACTGGCTAGTGCCGGAGGTCAGACTAGATGGCCCAGGAGGTCCCTTCTGACTCGCTCTGTTTCTATGTTTCTATGTCCTGCCCACCCCTGATCAATACAAAATGTTAGCAGCTTTCAAGGATTTGTCACTTGCAACTCAGGTGGCCCAGCTACATTCCTATCTAGACAGGGATAACCCGATTTCGGTAACCCATGCTCTGTTAGTAATAACATCAGGCTGCTGCTTGTGCAAAATGCAGCAGACAGATTAGTGACTGGAATCAGAAGGTCTAAACATATAACACCAATTCTGGACCTCTTGCATTGGCTGCCTATATGCTTCAGAGCCAAATATAAGATGCTGGCTTTAACCTATACAGCTTTTTATGGCTTGGGACCAAAATACCAGACAGAATGCTTCTCTAAATGTCAATCTACCAAGCCACTACAATCTGCATCTGAAGCTTCCTCCAACAGCCACCTCCAAGGGAGTTTCAGACAGAGGTAACCAGGAGGAGGGCCCCCAAACTCTCAGTAGCACACTGGATTTTCCACATGCATATACATACAGGCAGTAAGAGTGGTGCAGTATGCACTTTCACATCACTTGCAATTCGGCTTTTGGCATGCAAAGTTAACCTTAGGGGGAAACCCAGACCTAAATGTTGATTTTTACTTTGGATCAACATTTAGGTCCCAATGATAGCTTTCTGCCATTCTATTATATGTGCTAAATAGGTTTTGCAGCTGCATCTGAATGGTAATATATGCAGTTGAACCTTAATTCAAACAAAACTTTCAACCCTGCTACATTTAGAGATCCCCTTTCAGCCTTGGGGAGTCTGATCAAGGCTGAACAATTACAGTGGTCCACAGTTAATGTTTATAAATACATAATATCAATGAACAAATATTATACACGGGGACTTAAGCAATTTGCCTAATCCAGGGGTCTCAAGCTCGCGGCCCGCGGGCCAATTGCCGGCTGGGTGGGGCATGGGGGAGGGGCCCTGCGGCCTTCAAAGCACCGGTGGTGCCCGGGCCGGCCTGCGGGAGCGACGCGGGATGAGCGGCCCACCACCACCGTGGGGGTGGAATACTTGCTGCGGCCCAGCCTCACCCAGCCTCTACTTCCAGCGGCCCCCAGGTCAGTTGAGTTTGAGACCCCTGGCCTAATCAATGGAATACCTTGCTAGCATCTATTTCAGAAATGATATCTTAGGTTACATTTAATTCAGCAAAATTTTATGTTTTGAGCATATTGGTTACCACAACAAGAAGCTGATGAAATCAGCTAATTGCTGAAGGTGCAAAACTCCTAACACTTCTCTGATTTAGCCCAACGCCCAATGGCTGCTTCCTTTTGGAAGAAGGGAATAATTTGGATAAATTTTGTCCTATAAAATTCTTTAATATTTACAGATATGCATGTTCATTTTAACTACTGATTTCTTGGAATTTAATGCAAGGCCAACATAAATGGATTTTCTGCGTACTTTGAAAAGATAAAAGGCTTACATTATCACATTGGAAAAATAAATGGTAACCTGCAATAACACAAATGGGTGAAGGACTTGATGAAACTTTTGACTTTTGCATGAGTGGGTTTTAGATAAAATTAAGGACAAATATAATTAACTTAAATTATCATATGATACTTTTTACTGCCTTGCTACATTTAAAACATAGAAAAGGATATAATACATATGTATTCACTGTAATAAATCTAGTTACATTTTAGGTAAGAAAATTCCAACATTTTATTTGTATTTTGTTGGGGTTTTGGTTTTGATTTCATGTTTTAAAATAATAAATAAATAAATCTCTTGGGCCAAACCAGATAGCCTAAGACAGGTGAACACCTCTAGCAGCTGCCAGTGACCACTGATTAGTAGTTTTTCTTTAAAATCACATTATGATGTAAAATGAGGATTTGTACAAGATGGTTGAACATTTCTCCTGAAGAAAAAGGTTGTTATGCAAAGAATATCAATTTGTACAATAATCTGCACCTATAATTTGCAATGTAATCTATGCCAAGATGTCCAAAATTATAACTGAGGCTTACCTTTGTTTGTTCGCTATCAGGATCTTCAAGCCAGTTATATGGGTCGCTAACTTTACAGCCATGATAATCTTGCACCTGAATAAGTTGAAAAATAAGTCTGTTTTACAATCACTTAGTGTTTTAAAAATTGTGCAGTTGTCTGCTGAAAAGTGGATGATGCAAGTAAGAAGGCAAGTCATTTCAACCAGCAATTTTACAAAAAACCAATAGCCTCTTTCTCCTTCCCCCCCTCCCCCCAACATTAGTTAATTATATATAACTAGGGTCCCAATCCAAAGAAGTGTATTTGCTGCAAAGTTTGAAGACCTTGTGCAGAAGTTGGCAGAAACACTTAACCTCTGGTGTTATTGAACAATCAAGTAAGAAGAAGAAAAAACTCACAGCACTGGATAGTAATTTGGAGTAGGAACATTACTGAGAATGGAGTACTTAGTGATCCTTTTAGTGACCAAGTGTCCCTTTCCTATCTTATATTCCTCTCTTATGGATTGAGAACTGGTATAGAAAGCAGATGGGAGGAATAAATCAGCAGTTTTCACAATGGAAGGATGCAAAAAATGAGGTCCACCATTGTGGCCAGTGTCCATAAATAATCTGAAATGAACGGTGAGCAGTGAGTGAGGCGTCCAAATCTGCTGGTGGCATCAAATGCTCTAAGGTTGCCCCCCCACACACACACACACAAAACAAGGAACAGTGAAGTTCTCCAAAATCTCTCCAAACTGGGAGAACATGCAACAAAATGGCAAACACAGTTTCGTGTAGACAAATGTAGTAAAGTGGTACAAAATTTTATATCTATATTGATGGGATATGAGCTGGCACCAAATGAATCTTGGAATTGTGGTGTATACCCCATTGAAAACACAAATGGCTAATGTGAAAAGGGTAAATTTCATGTTGGGAGTCATTAGCAAGAGAAATGAAAATAAAGCTGTCAGTACCAAGGTTCCTTTATACAAATCTATGGTGCAACCATATAGTCATAGTTTCTGCATAATGTGTACAGTTCTGGTCACTGCACCACTACAAATGGATATTACAGAAAGAGAACATTTTAGAAAATTATCAGGAGGTTCAAGAAATTCCCTTGTGAAGACAATTGCCAATATTTGGGGCTCTTCAGCCTATTATTATGCCAAGTTATGGGGGGGGGAATAATATGGAGAAAGTGAATAGGAAGGTATTTTTCTCTCTTTCTCATAATACTAGAGAGACTAATGATGGGAGAAGCTAAAGTCTGGAAGGTACAGGACAATTAAAATGGAGTTTTTTTGTGCAGTGCACAATTAAACTACCACAAGATGTAGTGATAATAGGGGATTAGTTGAGTTATAATACATGTGAAGATGGAACACTGAAGGTAACTGGAGCACTACTTTCTCCTCACCATTACAACTTTACTTGTGCCAGAGAAGAGCCATCATCTTCCACCTGAGCCCTAATTCAAATTACCAGATGTTACTAGTGAACTGCCCATTTAAAACATGTAGCAGGTAAGTATTTTTATAAAATAACCAAGCAGGAAAGTTTTTGTAAACTGGAGATCTGGCTCTCATACAAGTTGTCAATATGCCATAAGTGATATATAAATATATATTTATATAAAAATATATAAATTACATATATATTTGTAATTAGTGTAAGTGAATAACTTCTACAGAATTATTTACAAAAGTTAAATCAAGCCATGACTAAGATGCTGTGATATCTTAAACCTTCCATACAGACTAGGCAAACACTTCAGCTAAAGTCAACAACTGAATTTCTGCAGCTCAGGGCTTCCTTGTTCTCAGACTCCTAGGGAAGGGTCCAATCAAATAATAGAGCTAACATTATGTTGTGTTATTATAAAAGACCTATAGCATAACACCAATACATTAGTTCGTGGTAAGATTTTCCAGAAACCCAAGGCTCCAACCAAAGTGAATAACATTCCAGCAGTTGTGGTTGTTCTATGCAATAAGTTGACTCCAATTTATGGCAACACTATGAATATGGGTTGCCCTCCAAAATGTCCTCTCCATGACAGCTCTGCTTAGCTGTTCTACAGCCAAGGCAGTGGCTTCCTGTGCGGAGTGAATCCACCTCTTATTTCAACTTCTTTTTCTACTTCTGCCTTTGACTTTCCCTAACTTGACTGTCATATTTTGGACACATTATGAGAAGGCAATTTCAGTTTTGTCAGTTTTGCTTCTAAGGAAAGCTTTGATCTATCACCCATATGTTCATCTTTCTAACATTGCGGTAGAGTAGCTGAATGTAACTTATGTTAGCACTATTTTTCAATCGGATATTAAACCTATTATTGGAATAACAAGGTTACAAAATTTGTATTTAAAAGAGAAGGCACTTCTGTAGTACTCCATTAGAAAGTGGAAAGATGATTTTCTGTTTCAGGTGGCAGAAGAGAAAGATATGAAAATATTTCAAAGGCTGCTTCAGGAAGGATTTTTTTATTGTGAAAGATTTTGCACACCTTGGCTCAATCATCAATTCAAACAAAGACTGCAGGCAAGAAATTAGAAGAAGCCTGAAATCTAGAAGGGCAGCAATGAAAAGATAATCAAGTATAACGATGTTTCAGTGACAACCAAGGCCAAGGATCATCCACATCCATATTCCTGATCATTATGTATGGGTATAAGCTGGACAATGAAGACAGTTGACAGGAAGAAAATTGTTGTTTGAAGCATGGTACTGCAGGACAGCTTTGTGAATACCCCGGACTGACAGAAAGACAAAAAGTGTGTCTTAGAACAAATCAAACCAGAATTTTCCCTGGAAGCAAAAGTGACAAAACATAAGTTGCTACATTTCAGGCGCATTGTGAAAAGGCAATCATGCTAGGGAAAGCAGAAGGGAGAGTAAAGGAAAACCAAATATAAGATGAATCTATTCCACAAAGAAACCACTGCCATGACTTTTCAAAAGTAGAGTAGGGCTGTCAAGGGCAGGACATTTTGGAAGGCATTTATTCATAGGGCTACCATAAGTTGGGGACAATTTGATGGCACATGACAACAACTCTGGTCCGTATGACAGGTGCTAAATGCCTTAAAATCTGGGTAGGTGTGCAGAATGCAAAAAGAATGCAAATAAAGAGAGCTTCTATTGTGCAACATTTCTCAAATTCTCAAAGACATTGTTTCCTTTTCTATAAGTATATGACATTTATCAGTATTAAAGAGCTGAAGTGCCAAACTAGATAGATTATGCTCCAAATTAATAGAACTGGAACAGGAAGCAAGCAATATAATCTAAGCACGTCTCATGCTGTGAGGTAGTAACATTTATCTGTGCACCAGCCCCAAGTATACAACCCAAAACCACAAATGTTGAATCAGTGCAATAAACAAAGATGCCTACAGGACAAACACAATCAAACTGTCCCACAACCTGTAAACAAGCCCCAGAGCTACTAACCAATGTATCTTGTTGAAAACATTTCTCCTGTTTGAATGACAGAGCTTTTTCAACTTCAGCTTGGCTGTAATTGTCACTACTAAACTCTGATATATAATGTTAAGTTTTCCATACAGTGTTTTTTTCTGCTAACACAAACAAGTCCCTATTGTTTCCAGATGCAAAATGTTAGTATGTGAAGTAGCAATCATCATTATAGTCTGCAGCAGTTCCCACACTGTCTAGGCTCAGTGTGGACAGAAAATATGGATATCTAAACACTGTCTTCACCCTTCCACTGGGAACATCCCAAAGTAGTGTAGGAGGGCATTCAAAGGCTACAGCCCTTCAGTCTTTCAGGACAGCTATGTTATTCCCACAATCTTTAAAATAACCGAGTTTCCGTAACATGCTATTGAAATACAACTCTCATCACACCAGGCCACTGGCTGTAGTGGGAATGATGAGAGTTGTGTTCCAGAGTTCACTTCTTCCAGAGTTCACCGAGCTAAGCAAAGATGGCATGTATTGTATAAAATGGCCTTCCCAAGCTGATGTCCTCCAATATCCACTGCTACCTTTTCCACCCACTTGCCAGGCTCACTGGAGATGATAGGAGTCAAATTCCCAATCATCTGGAGGGCACCTGCTTGGGGAAAGACCGGCGTTAAAGGAAGCTTCGGACGGTGGAGGAGATTACCCATTTCGGGGAATCACAGTTCCCTAACAGAGCGCTAAGAAGAGGGAAGGCTGCCGAGGGAGCTGTCCCAAAGAGAGAAGGCTGAATCTGAAAGGACTCCGGGCTGGGCATGCATGGCAGGCAAAGAGCCGGGCAAAGGGGGAGCAGCGGCGGGCGTGTCCTGTTTGCAGCACCCCCGGTGGGTACTCACGGATGAGTCGTCGCGATACACCTCGGGGTACTGGAAAACCTGCATGCTGGTAACGGTGGGTTACAGGGGAAAGCAGAGGAAGGCTTCAGCGGCGCGGACGGCGATGGGCGGGATGCAGGAAGAGGAAGACGTGGGCTGGGCAAGGCGCCGCTCAGCCTCCCTCCTGCCGGCGTGCAAAAGCCCAGCGGCAGCAAGGCCCACCCACTCCCCGACAAGGAGCTGCCACTTCCGGCAAAAGGCAAGAGGGGCGAGGAGGGAGGCCGAGGAGGCCGCTTAGCTCCCCCTTCAGGAAGGCGCCAGCACGGTCGCCACCTTTCTCCCGCCTCGCCTCAAATCTCCGGAGCTGCTGAGCAAGATGTCAGGCGAGTTGGCGAGGTGCGGCTGTGACCAAAGGCTGAACAGGGCGGGCGCCTCGGCCGCGTCGGCTCCGGTCCGGTCCGGTCCGGTCGGACTGATTCCGCTTGCGCGGCAGCTCCCGCGCAGGATTCCCGCGGAAGCCCCTCGCTAGGGCCGGGAGCTGCCCCAGCTACGGGGGAGCCGGCTCGCCCGGGATGGCAGCCTCACCTTACAGCGCTGCACGTGCGCACTCGGAAGTCCTGCCGGACGGCCATCCCATGCGAGTGGGTCTAGGACAGGCTTTCTCAACCGGACGCCCTCCAGATGCGTTGGACCACAGCTCCCATGATGCCCAGCCAGCGGGGGAGGGGGGGGTTCTGTGATCCAGCGCGTCTAGAGGGCGCCCGTTTGGGAAAGGCTCACCTAGGGTCGTCTTGGGCATGATCAGACCAAAATAAGGCCGGGGCTCTCTGGGACTTGTCAAACTTCTTTCTGTCTAAACGTGCAGAGGATTGCACTCTGAAGGAGTAGTTTCCTTAGGCCACGATCATCTCTATATGGGGCCTGGTAATTTAAAATGATGTTTACTGCAACTGACAATGCCTAAGACGGCTTATTTCAGGGACAAAGTTGTTATGACATTGGGCCACAGAAACTAACCTGGCTAACTCTCCAAGGGGGATAAATGGGACTCAGAGGATCTGGGTTCTAGTCCCGGCTCAGCCATGGAGCCAACTGGGTGACTTTGGGCCAGTCACAGACTCTCAGCCCAACCTACCTCACAGGGTTGTTGTGGGGATAAGATGGAGGAGGAGAATAATGTAAGCTGCCTTGAGCCCTTTGTAGGAAAAAGGCAGGATATAAATAGAAAAATAAAGAATAAATAAATAAATATATCCATAATATGTCACCACACTTTTTCTCTTAAAAAAAAAAAGTGGCTGGCAACAAGTGCCAACCTGCTTGCGCCCTAACCAGGAAGGAGGGCCAGTGACTGCTTGGAGATAAGTACATGTTCAAAGAAATTCTTGTTGAATACCATACACTGTACAAATCAAAGGACAAAGGAGGTTGTGGGGGTTTTGCCTGCAAGGGCTGTTGTGGCTTCCATGGTTGCTTACATGAAGACTAAAAGTCAACATGGATATGTCTACAGGTTAAGGAATGTTACTCAGCCTAGGTTTCTTCCCTGGCAGGAAAAATAGCTTCCTTATTACTGAGCTCTGCAGCAGCAACTTTCTGGAAAGCTTTGTTTAATCCCAGGTCATATTAAGCCCTACAAAAAGTATATGTTACTCACCTACCTACACCTTTTTTCTCTCTGCACAGTAGAGAATGCTCTGGCAACTGTGTTGCTGGAAAAAGGGTTGAGAATGAGAAAGAAAAAAAATCTTTGGTGCAGCAGGAAGACTTTCCCCATTTTGCCCCCCCACATGTGTTGGACCACAACTCCCATCATCCAGTTAATGATAGTACACAACATCGTCACTGATGATAGGATACAACAGTTACAGCCTTAGCTTCCAGTTTCCAGGTTTTGTGGTGTTCAAGCCAATATTTGACCTAAACTCTGGTCTTAAACTGGCCGGCCTTTTTATGGTTGAAAACATATTTACAGAGAAGAAGACAGAGAAAGTGAGAGAGAGAGAGAAAGCTGGAAAAGTAATGTGTGTGCATGTGTGAGGGATGTCATTGGTGTATGTGCATGTATATTTAAGATAAACTTGATTGATCAGCTAACATATTCCATAATGTCTCTGTGACTTCTGAAGCTACCTGAGCAATACAGTATCCAACTTCACAGTTCCACATGGAAAGATTGCTACTCCATTTGTTTGCATCAAAAGGAATGAGCAAGTGCTACAGTGCCTGTGGATCAGATCTCATTGACATGAATAAGAGCTTCGAAAGGTAATGGAACTCTCCTTGGGGTAGGGCAGTGCTATATATCATACAAAAAGAAGTCTGAAAAGTTTATCTCCCCTTATCCTTTCATTCAAAGATTTTGCTATATCATGAGCTAGAACCCTTTTAAAAGCAAGTTTATTCATCCTTGCTTTTTAAAAGTTTATTGTTTAAATTTGTGAATCTGTATTACTGAAATGTATCAAGAGGTGGCAGCAACAGCACACTGTTTCTCTGTCTCACTAAACAGTCAAAAACTTTTAATTAGCCTCTGTTCTCCTGTGCGGTCTTTCATCTGGTATTTTAAATCCAGGTTAACATATTGTGGCTAAGGTTATCAACAACAACTTTTTAAAATTAAAATTTAAAATCTTTGGAACATTTGTGTGAAAAAACCACAACAAAATTTTTGTTGTAAGCCGCCCCGAGGCGTCGGCGAATGGGGCAGCATAAAAATGTTTTAATAAATAAATAAATAAAATAAAAATGCTTCATGGCTCTCTGCCTACAAAAAAAGTTAGGTGGTTGTTACAGTGGTTTTCTATTGCTTTAAATAGATTTACCTATGTTCTTTTTTAGCATTGTACTTATGTAGGCATGTATCTTAAAGTGAATGACATAATGAAGTAGATGTGTTATTAAAGTACAGTAAACAGTATTAAAAATATTAAAAGATAACAATTCATAAGTATTCTTCCCATAAGCCAAGTAATAACGGTCCCACACAGAGAGGATATAGGTTCCTTTGCATTTCTGCCTTTCATTCCTGAAATTTTCTGTTTTGTATTACAATCTATTGTACGTATTACTACATTTGGAAAGCTGGTTTGATCAACAGTGCATGTACATGCATGCATATAAAATTTGAAAAACAGCTAGTCTTTGGATCCCAGTATCTCATGGAAACAATTGTAACTAAATAAATGAGCAATTCTGTTCTCTACCCAGATGTCATGGTGGAGAGGAGGAAATGAAATGCTAACAGAATTGTAGCCAAAAGCCATATCCTATATACATCTAGCCCATGAAAAAGACAACCAGAAAACACAAAATGGAAGACGTGTCCCTGAAACATTTATTTATTCATTAATTATATTTATGTTCTGTCTTTTTTCCTTCCAAGGAACTCAGGGCAGCTTACATAATTCTCCTCTCAACAACCCTGTGAGGTAGGGTGGGCTGAGAGTCTGTGACTGGCCCAAGGTCACCCAGTGAGCTCAATGATGGAGTAGGGACTGGAACCCAAATTGCCTAAGTCCCAGTCCCACGTTCCTAACCACTGCACCACACTGGCCTTGGCTTCCATGGTCTCTACACCTGATCATGCTTAGCTGTGCTTGACAACATGGGACTGGATAAACACATACAGGACTACAGTGTTGTGGGCACCAGACCCAAAACATACAAGAGTGCAACCCTCTGCATGTATTACAGATAAAAGTCCTCCAACTCCAGAATTTCTGGACCAGCACACAATTGTACCCTAAACAATCATGTCTATTTACCAACCTTGGGGCTTGTGAATGAATGGTACAATATTTGCTCAAGTGCAGTATTTGTTGAAGAGCACTTTCAAAAACAGTGCTGCTCCTTTTAAGATAAATGCTGTCTAAACTGGGTGAGGAATAAAGTGAATGTGTAAAGAAATGGAAATCTCTGAGATTTGTAGAAGTATGCAGCTGTTGGATGATCTTGCCACAGACATAAGTATGTCCAACAAGTGTAAATAAGTTTTCACCTTCAGTCCAAGATAATGTGCTTGATTACTAGTAATTCTCAATTGCTGTTAAAAATATCAGTGACAAATAAACTATGCAAAAAAGTGATATAGAAATGTAAAGTATTGAAGATGGGGAAAACTTTGCAAATATGTGGTTTTAATGTGCATCACTAAACAATTTTAATTGAAAGTAGACTCTGCTGTTATTAATTATCATATTTCTATACTTCCTAATAGCCAAAGCCCTCTGGGCAGTTGTCATGAGGTTTGTTGCCCCTGGTGGTATCTCTTGGCTGGACCAATTTCATTTCTGTAGGATACTTCAAGGATTGTGACACTCCTATACTTGAACTCCCAGCCAAGTTCAGAGTTTGTAGTTTTGTTTCTTCATTCAATTGCACCATGCATCATAGGGTGACTTTAGTACCCCAGGCACACATGTTCTGTATTGTAATTTACAATAGTCTTACTGACTCTTTCTTTTATGACATTGTCACAAAGTTTAATCTCATTTAAAACACCCCCATATTTCAGCATCCTACATTGTATGCTTGCTTGCTTGTTTGTTTTTAATAAAAGAAAAGCAGCTGCGATGGCAAGGTCACTTTGGAAGTCCCATAGGAATAGTGGGGTGAGATGACTTTGTCACCCCAAATAAAGGCCCCCCGAGGTGGTGGGGAGAAGCCACAAAACAAAGCAGTTTAGATTCTTCCTTCCTCCTGACCACTGGTCAGTGGTTGGTTTTCCAGCTCTTGTATATTTCCCCCTATCCTAAAACAATGAAATGGCAGTACCTGGTAGTGAGAGCTTAAAAATATATGCTGGGGGTTTTATATTTGATACCAGTCCTTTTGCCTTTGGCCTTGCCCACCATGGAATGTGGCCCTGTAAAGAAATACTGTGTATAACTTGTTGTTTGATAAGTTGAACTTTGTGTGACCTCTGTGAAGCTACAATAGGTATAAGCAGGTCTGAGAAGCTTTGTTTTGCTATGGTCCAAATCCTGTTTAGTGGTTGCTTAGTAACATTTAGGGCTGGGGAAGATGCTTTGAATTTTGTTAGATAGAACTGATTAAATTCTGTTACAATTGACTAGAAGGAAAAGAGTGGTTAGGAAATGACCGGAAGGAGGTCGTTTGTGACGCGTAAGTGATGTGTAGCATTTTAGAAAGGGAGAAAGTGAAAAGTTATTCT